TTGTGGGGGGTGATCTAGCTGTTTAGGTGTACGGTAAAGCAATCATTCCGTTACGATTCTTGCCGTGAGCTTTGATGACTGCTTCCGGCATTACTTTTTGAACTAAAAGCATAATTGTAGAACGAAGATTCGGCATAGTGAAGTTTATGCAGAAGTCCACATCAAAAATTCTGGTAATTTGTATGAGTTAAAGGTGTTTGAAATATTTCGAGGTGATTGCAAAGTTTTATTGTAAAACTCTAGCTAGGTTTTAAGCAACTGTCCATCTGTCTGCAACGGAAGTAATAATCCTTGCAGATCAGGTGTCAGCGAAAAGGTGATAACCTGTTAATTAATTTAAATGTTAATTAAATTATTTTTTAAATGCTTATTTGCAACCCTGGTGATAATTAATTTTCTACCTTTACCCAATATAATTCTATCGTTTCCTACCAATATACTTGTATTAAAAAAGTGGTTCAAGTATTTGTGCCAAAATCGGTGTTGTTTTGATATTATATATTCTATCATGTCATACTTTCAAATTATTTTCTATATATTATTTTCTCAGCCGAGTTTGGTTGCATGCATTCATCCGTAGCATAAATTTATCGGCATTAAGAAATGATTGCTTATAAATCAACTTAATACACCTGCAGTGTATTGGCTACTAGCACGAGTTTTGTATCATCTATTACTACCATCGCTTTTTATACTCTACAGAAACGTCAAAATCAGGCAACTGGTCAAGAAAAATTTACAAATTTAAGAATTTAAACGCTATGAATATCCTTGAAGAAAACACATATACCTTTTATTTTATATACCATACATATATTTTTTATACTATATTATAAATATTTCGAAAATTTTCGTTTGATTAATTTACCAAAATTGATCTTCAAAAATTGTAGCGATGTTAATACTTTGTGAAAATGTTTTTAGTTTGTTTCGTATTATTTTACACTGAGGCATTTAGCTCACAGTAATCTAATAAGTTCACAGCGCACGTGCAAATTAATTGAAATCGACTATATATTATATAACGATTTTACATTTCAATGAGTGTCATTGTTTTCCATTTCTTCATGTTTCATTTTACGAATTCTCGCACACATTTGAGAAATACTTCAAACACTGCTTCTCAAAAGTGTAAACTCAGGATTGTTATCTGTGCTTCAAGTTTAGTGGCATCAGCAGTCATCTGTCATAGTAACCAGGATAAATAGGCGTATAACTATACACCAACAGCCTTACACAATAGGATATATGGAAATATTTCAATATAAATACAGAGTTTTTGCTTCGTGATAAACTTAATATACCCTGTTCAGGGTATACAAATTAGCACTTATTAACTAGACGCCATATTTGTTGTTTATTTTGTGAAATCTACGATATGAACAAAATCAGACCGTACAAATTAGTGTTAGCAGTACTACAACGCCATCTAGCGAGATATTTTTTACTTCCGTTTCACTTGCCAATATATGTTTTAGCACCATCTATCGATAAGATTTGGTCGATATCCAAAGAATGATAAAAAAGAATTCATTGCCATTAACATCATTCAAATGGACCACATGTGAACTTGACCAGAAACAAGTAAGGAAGCGCTAAGTTCGGGTGTAATCGAACATTTCATACCCTTGCAACTTGCAAAGATCAATGGCAGGGAAATACCTTGAGATGTTGGCAAAACTTCACAATAAACAAGTAAGGAAGGGCTAAGTTCGGATGTAACCGAACATTTTATACTCTCGCAAAGTCAAATGGTATACTCGTTTGAGATTTCTTTGTGGATTGGCTGATATTTTCGGTAGAAGGTCAACTATAGGCACTGGGGTCCACATATTTAGTACTTAGGGGTTTGAACAGTTTCGGTTCGATTTAGACAATTTTTGGCCGCAAGGTGGCATACTTTAATTGCATTATTCACGCAAAGTTTTACCCCGATATAATCATTGTTACCTGATTTGCATAGTGGAAAGTGAAAGAATCAGATGGAATTGAAATGAAAAGAACGTTATGCACCGAATTTGGTTGAAATCGGTTAAGCAGATCCCAAGATATGGGTTTTCACCTAAAAGTGGGCGGTGCCACGCCCACTGCCTAATTTTCCACGCGGTTCCTATAAAGTCATCTCATACCATCCCAGAGATAAAATTTAATATCTTTGGCGTGTTTAGTGATTGATTTATCGCGCTTTTAGTAGTTTTTAACAGTACCGTTATAAGGGGAGTGGGCGGAGTTGCCACCCGATTTCAACTATTTTGACACCGTCAATAGAAGTGCTAAAAACATTTGCTTCTAGTGAATTTTGTTATTATAGCATTAGCGGTTTAGGAGATATGCACATTAAACCTATTAGAGGCGGGACCACGCCCACTTTTAAAAAAACATTTAACTGCAGATGCCCCTCCCTAATGTGATCCTGTGTACCAAATAACAGTCTTGTATCTTATTGCGGAGCTTAGTTATGGCAAGTTATTTGTTTTTGATTAATGGCGTTTTGTGGGCGTGGCAGTGGTCCGATTACGCCCATCTGCAATACCAACCGTCTCACGGTACCAAGAAACATGTCTACCAAGTTTCATAAAGATATCTCAATTTTTACTCAAGTTAGAGCTTGCACGGACGGACGGACGGACGGACGGACGGACAGACAGTCACCCGGATTTCAACTCGTCTCTTCATCCTGATCATTTATATATATATAACCCTATATCTAACTCGATTAGTTTTAGGTGATACAAACAACCGTTAGGTGAACAAAACTATTATACTCTGTAGCAACAGGTTGCGAGAGTATAAAAATGCTGCGAAAGAATTCAACATTCTTTAATCGACAAAGAGTATATTAAAATCATATTCAAATGAGATATATCTGACATAAACTTAACCAGAGAGACCAAATTTAATATATTGAGTTAATGTGCAAAACGTCAACCAAAAGATCGTAATTAATGATATTACGGATATGAGATTTCTGCGCTAAACCATTAATATAATTAGACTTATTAGAATAACGGAAATTATTCTATGTAATATAATATAATTTCACATATTTTTGGCATTAAACTCAAGTATATCCAATATTATGTGTTCAGCTAATTTTGATATCTTACATATTAACCGATATATACGGTATGATGCCAACGGTTTTATCTATTTTTGGCATTACTACATATTATGGGCAGGAAAAGATGCTCTTTAAGTTTCATTACCTCACATACCATCACCAATGTGTAAGGAGTAAAGTCAACCGGATGCTTGAAAATTCTCATATTAGCAAGTTATATATTGGCCGATCTATGGGTTATAAAGTCAGTCATAAAGTTCGAAGATTTTCAATTAGGTATACGGGGGCTAAGTGAAATATTGACTCGATTCAACCCCTTTTTGACAAGCAGACATACTATTCTCAGGACAGGATTCTCTCCTTATTTCAAGTAGGCGTGATTAACATGGGAATGTCAAAATAATCCTATATATCAAATTTGGTAATTTGGTTGAAATTCGTCAAGTAGGTCTGCTTATATAAAGCCCACCTGGGACATTCTAGGTGTAAAATTTATTGTATCTGACGTTTTTGGTTATTGAATTATAGCACTTTTAGTAGATTTTAACAAAATCGTTATATGGGTAGTGGGTGCTGTGGCAAGAGATGTCGGAATAATTTCTCCTGTACAAATTTTGGTGATAAAGCTTGAATAGTTTGGGAGATAAATAAATTAATCCTATTAGGATGCGGGGCCATGCCTACTTTTTCAAAACTTTCAAACCCCAGGTGCCCCTTGTTATTGCGATTCGTTGTACTAAATTACAATTTTGTATCTTAATTTGCGGCTTAGTTATGGCAACTTATTTGTTTTTGATTTCTTATTTGGCGTTTTGTGGGCGTGGCAGTGGTCCGATTACGCCCATCTGCAATACCAACCGTCTTACGGTACCAAGAATAAGCATACAAAATTATAATTTTTAAAGTCCTTGTCCTAGTGTAGGTGCTAATTAGAAGAATCACTTTGAATTCCTCGTCTTGTCATCCTGATCATTTATATATATATAACCCTATATCTAACTCGATTATTTTTAAGTGATACTAACAATCGTTAAGTGAATAAAACTATTATATTCTGTAACAACATGTTGCAAGTGTATAAAAGGGAGAGCTGAATTTTCTTTAAATAAGAATAAGGCGGTATTTTGATCAGACTTGCCCCGTTTCCAAGCTGACGCCAATGTTATATTCCAATTTTGTACCAAACTGCAGAGATCACCGTATTTGCAACACCAACCTACTTGTACAGCCAGTACTTCATCAATAATCTTGAAAAAAAAATGAGAAAATTTTCAAAAACAAAAATTCAACAAATTTATAATTATTACTAGCTGATCCAGCAAACGTTGTTTTGCCATATACGTTAGTTTTCGGAATTTTTTGTATTTCAGGAAATAGTTTTAAAAATAACTAAAAGTATGTAGGAGAGGTAATAATCACTGAAAGAGGAATGAAGAGTTGTAGTTAATAACTTATAAACTTATAGTTATAGTAGAAAAATCGGGTTATTATTATAGAAAACATTATCTCAAATAAATTAGGGGAAATACTATCGAATTAACATTCATTGCGTGAATAAAAATATCTTCTGGTTTCGCAGGCCGGATTGCCGGGTAAACCGTCGAGATATTTTGGGTAAAGCTAAAAGCAAAATCACATGTTCCTTTATTGGCATAAGTCGTTTAGACCGAATAAAAAACAAAGACACCACATTTTTAATCACAAGCATAACACATGGACCTTACATCTGATCGCCATAATTCAAATATTTTCCGAAAATAATAAAAAATTGTGATTCAATGTTTTTAAATGTTCGTTCTAGATCCTTCGATTGACGAAAATTTCAGAATTAGCGATTGTTTTAATCAAACATAATCAATAATATTTGTTCTCCTACTATATTCAGTGAATAACCTTAACAATAAATCACTAAGTTTATTTTCGGTATTTCTCTTTTCAGACGATTCGACGTTTCAATATCACCAATCACTGTTTGGAAAACAAGTTCTTATAAGCATTCGGTAAATTTTAGTATTTGCAAATAACAAAAAAACAAAAAAAAATATAGAAACTCCAAAGCCGTGATATTAGATATTTTCGATTTTTACTATAACATATATACAACATTTACAATTTATCGGAAACTATATTCGTCCAAAATTTATAATAGTTATACATTATACACTTCGAAATTACGGACTATTTGTACAAAGAAAATATTAAATTAAGAACGTAATTTAGTGATTAGCCTGATAAATAATATGAATTCCGTCGTAAGTAAAGTGCCTCCAATTTCTACAAAACAAAAAAATTCAAATCAATAAAAAATAGTTAAACATAAACTAAAAACTGTTAATATAATATTAAGTGCTTTACGAAACAGAGAGAAAAGATAATTTAAATTACCTTGAAGTGCAATATTGTAAAATAATTTATCGCTGACACGAACCTACACTGCCTTGCCAGCCGAATCGGTAGAAAAAGTACCGTTGAGCTCTCTTTACCGACTGACAAAATATTTTTACGAGCGTGGCACACAAACGCACGCTGGCACTGGCGGAAGTTTGCAGTGGCTCTGCCTTATCGGCGATGCCATTTATCGATGACGCATTACTCTGGTGTCCGGATAATGATGGCCGTATGGTTGGTGGCTTAGATATCGCTCCATGCATGCAAGTACGTAATATAAGCCTCAAAGTAGGCTACACAGTTTGTACATTTAGTTGTCGATAAGAATGTTCATTCTGTTTTTTCTTAACTAATTCGCTTCGTTCACTTAGGAGGAAGCCGCCACAGGCAGCACTAATGAGAATGGGAACGAATCTACACAACTCGATGAACGCAACACCGAGCTCAACTCTCTCGAACCGCTCTGCAATGAGTCTTCCGATGAACTATTTCGCCAATTATCTGAAAGCAACTTCGAAATCGAGAGCTTACTGTCTGACCTGGCCACAGTTGAGGTTAAAGTAAATAGCAATTTTATTGAAGTGAATTTGAAATTAGCTTAACGTATATTCAACTTCCCCGAATCCCTCTTTTATTTCAATTCTTCTTACTTTCTTTGCAAATTCAATTGAAGGAGGAAAACAACAACAGCATTGGCGAACAAGTAGTGACCGAAAGCTTCGTGTCGTTGGAGGACTCAGCTGTTGTAGCCAATGGCGTACTTAGCCCTGCTTGCGCTAATACAAACGGGTCTGCAGGTGGTGGGGATGTTGGAATAACGATAGAGGGTGCTGCCGAGTCCACTTTATTAGCGTTAACTTCACACTGCGAATCGCTCACTGCGAAACCGATAAGCCAAAGTCAAAAACCAACCGCGAGTGCGCCTATTGGCCGAAGGGAGGACATAAGAGGCAGTAATTCTTATGTAAGCAGCAGCAATGAGAATGTGACGCATGCGCTCGAGGCAAATGCGCGACGCTTTTTAATTGCATCCAATCCGCTGCTTGCCGAAAAGTTACTGGCCAAAAGCATAATCAACACAGACAACAACAACAGCGCACCACTGAAAACAACCGAATTCGACGGTAAGTGCAACTATTTTGTTATTTAACCTATAAGTACTTACATACATACCTACATTTGCCAAAATGGATCCTTGCAAACGTTATGTGGGCATATTTAAAAATAAACATATGTATGCATTGCATTAAACTCTTTACATTTATATAAAAATTACCGAATGTGACGGTTTTTTACTCAAAATTTATTTTAACACTTAGGGAAAGCATGTTGTCGTTTAAGACTTTTTTTAAAACTGCAATAATGATCACAAAAATTTCTTTTAAGTTGATAACTTTTAATTGGAAAGAAAGTGGACTCTCCACAGCTTCTAGAAAACTTATCATTTTTCATAAATTTTTTTACGAAATAAAAATTTTAACTCGAAAATTTACTTTAAAACTGAGTGTTAAAAAAAATGTTGTTTTGGCCCAAAATTTTCTTTTTTTATTATCTACAGATTTTACCCCCAGGCTAAGCGAAAAAACATATAAAAAAATTTTCGTCCCCCTAATATACAGTTATTACGACCAAAACAAACTTATTTGCAAAAAAAACAATTTTTTGGATAAAAATACGACTGTAAACCACTGTTTTTAGCATCAACAAGTTATATTTTTGAATATCGGGTGTCTTTTAGCGAAGAGCATACTTTGAAGGAAAAAATGAGAAAAAATCGGTTAATTTGTTATTGTAAAAAGAAAAATATTTTCAAACTTGAAAAAGCTCTCCAGCGTTACCTGACAAATTATGAAAGGATCGGTGGAGTAGTTTTAAAGTTATGAGGAGCACCGACTTTAAAAACGTGAGTTGTGTGAAAAACTGTTAAAAGTTTTAAAATCCGATGTAAAATATTCTTAAGACAAGTATAAAAATAGCCATAACTTAATCTAATCGACTAAAAATTTAGACACTACTTTTTTGAGATATTATGCATTTGTTCTAATCCGTTATATATATTATTAGTTATTTATGTAAAGTTCTATGAATATGGTAGCGTATTTTTTGACATTAGTCTATCAACTTTTAACCACATTGACTAAAAAACGAGAGCATTAATGATTGGGAGTTATCTTAAAAATGTATTTAACTTCCGATATTTACAACCTGATATCTCGTTTTCCAACGCTAAGTCTGTATAGTTGAATTTAGACTCTAATGAACATGATAACAAACATTCATTACATTATTTAAATAGGTTTAGTATGCTCTTGAGTAAAAATCACTCATACGCCCTCGTGCTTCAGTGTTGACAATATTGAATATAAACGCCAACAAAATGTTTTTTCACTCATAGTGTGTACTGAAATTTTAATAGGGTAAAAATCTGTGCAGAAAAGTCAAATTTCAATATAAAACCAGTTTGAAATAATTTTATGAGTAATCCTTAAAAAATAATAACTCTACTGGAGAAAAACAAAAATATTTTTATTTTTAAAATCTATGTCAGACTTTTAATTTGTATTTGCCTAGATCTCTTTCACAATTTCACCATTTTATCTGCTTTAACCAACTCCTAGTTTCACACATACAGTACATACGTAGATATGTATGTACGCGATTCTGACCTTGAATAAAATCTGAGTTTGCTAAACCGTAGTAGACGTAAGTTCATGAAACTTTGTCTGGGATACCACTTTACCACACTGTTTTTTCCGTTTCCTTTTCCTAAAGCAAATGGTGGAATGAGCCTGAAACGCAACACCCCACAAGTATTTTATCGCAGCTAGCATCTACATAAGACAGACCTTCGTTTGAAATCATAACTCAAATACCCCTCCCACACTGAGACTTGAAATGGTTTTCGGTGTGTAAGAGCGGAACAGGATCCCACTACCTTGAAACTGCGGATAACAGCACATTATACGAGTATATAAATGCGCTAACCGTTAGAGATGTAGCAGCTGACGAGGCCGATGGTGAAGAAGAGGGCATCGCGGCGCCTACAGCGAACCACACTGACTGCCCCTCAGAAAGAACAAATAAGACGGCTGTGACGACCAGAGACAAACCGAGACGCACCAGACATCAAATTCACATCGCACACACTTCGGAGTACAGCACATAAACATATGTATGAAAGCACGAAAGTGGCAGACGGGGCTTAGTTTATTGTCTTGCAGTCAACGCTCGTCCCTTTTATTTTGGTGGGTTTTGGTGGCTCATGCAAACCATTTGCCAACATCCGTATCGACTTGAATAACATTTTGCTTGTTCGCGAAGTAGCGAGGTGTTCGGAGGGTCGGTAGGTATTTGTATTAATGTCTACTCGGATATTTGTCTGCGAGTGGTAACAATGTCAGGTCAATAAATTCTCAGCGTGAGAATGAACGTTCAAGGTCAAAAGGATATTGCCTCTTTCCGTGTGTGTCTCGACAAACCCGCTAGACGGCTGTGCAAGCTTTTTTCACCAACAAATATAAATGTAATGCAACCAAATGAGCGAAAATTCGAGAGAAGCAACAAACAACAACCGTTAATACTCAGTCGTGAATAAATGTTATTTTCCGCACTCATTTCACTTTCACTCGTATACTTACATAGACTTTTGATTGAATCATACATAAAAAGTGGTCCGTCATGAGGAGCGTTTACCAGAGAAGTGGGCCGTCTGCGCTCTTTTGATTGGCAGCGAAAATTGGTTGTTGTCTGTTGTTTGTTGTCGAAATGAGTTCACTGAAACAAGTTATTTCGAAGAGGGTGGGAATAGCTTGTTGGGGCCGAACAGGCAGTGATGATGAGTTTCATGGCAGAATTTTTTTCAGAGATTTGTCTACCGTCAATTACCGCCCTGGTAGTGATCCTAATATGTGCACAGTGTATCTTTGTCGACAGCGACACAGCGCTACGTCTGGGATGGCACCTAGCCGCTTTCCAATTAGTAGACCCTCTTCTGCCGTACGCCTATGATTTCGCAGCCGTTCTCCTTGCTATTGATTATACATAACCGTGTGTGTGTATGCCTAGGGTAGCACCTAATCATCCTACGATGTCTTTTATTGTGTGCGTTTCTGTCGGTGTGTTTTTACGATTTCGTGTGCGTGCCGTCATCGCTGGTGTGGGTGTGTCAGACAGCAGAACCTAAAAATGAAATTGTGTCCTTTTTATACCAGTATACTTAGACATGCCGACGATGACGACGACGACGACGACGCTTGTCGGTATTGTGGGCTGTTTACCCGATGTGCGTGTACTACCCTACGCATCCACAAATAGCTGTATGTAATATGCCCTTACGTATGTGCGAGTGTAAACGTCTGTCTGGGCTACGTTTTGTTCAATTTTCGGGCGGGTGTTTAAGTATAGGATATTCTACGTCAAAAAAAAAAATGAGGAATCATTGAACGGCTGCCTTGGAGTTTTCCGTAGGCAGGGCGTCGCTTAACCTTGAACTTGAAATTTAGTATTTCAGTCAACAAAACACAAAAACAACAAACTTGAGTTCTGTACAAGTGTGTGTTTTGATGCGTGTTACACTATATACATATTTTCGTGTGTTTTGGGTGCAAGTGTTCAGACTTTCGGATAACTGTATATGTACTTGTGCTAACAAATCGATGTCTGTGTTTTTTTAACGCCGCGCATGATGGCGTACATTGGCACCAGCTGGGCGGTGGCCGACAAGTTTGGCCTAGTCGGAGAATGGTTGATGTTGCTGAACCTTTGAGCCTTTATAATGTGTAATTTGTAAAGCAAACCTAATATGAACACAAGGAAGATTTTCTTTGTTGGCAATAGAATTGAGTTTAAGTTGGAGGCATTCGATTTTTCTAGGGTAATATTTTAAAATAAATGGACCTTATTTGTATAATAGACTTCAGTACTTTACCGGTATATGTATTTATTTATAGATATAGCTTTGTAAAGGGTTATCAATTTTCTAGGATATTATCCTGAAATTTTATAATTGGTCCGAGGTCGGATAATGCTATTACCCAAATCCGTAAGTTTTCTCAAAACCTTCTGGTTTGTTTAGACTTATTTACCTAGTTCGCGAAGCCACAGAATTTTTCTGTAAGCAACTGGCAGCGAAGTCAGCTCGTAGACTGAGGGAATAGCTAGTTTCCGTTCCTACCTAATACCCCGGATCTTCGAAATCCTTTAGAATTAAACTTAAATTCCGCAATATTTCCTTCCCTTTCAGAGAAGATTGAGGATAAGTTGTACGGATGGGTCCAAGCTAGATAATGGGAGGTGGTATAATTTCAGCAAATTAGATACCAGAATAACCTTCCGACTACCAGACCACTGCAGTGTCTTGCAAGCGAAGGGCACAGCAATTAAAGAAAGCCTTCTTGTTCTGACAAAGAGCGCGCTCAAAAGAAAAAATGTATTTATACTCATATATACAGATCACCAAGCGGCTTTGAAATCTCTAGAGTCTCTTAGAGTTTCGTCGAAGATAGTGAAAGAAGTGAAGTGCATTGCACTCTTAGTGGATCTAACATCCTATATCACGATAAACCTACAATTGGTTCCAGAATATAGTGATACTCCTGGCAACTGTGAAGCAGATGAACTAGCTAGAGCAGGCACCACCTTACAATTAGACTCCGATAAAGAGGAAATATATGTATATGTCTCTGGCTACTTGTAGATATTTAATCGACAAACATGTAATAGATATAGATGAGTCTTTGTGGAGAGGATCCATAACTTAATCAACAAGCCACATTTGTCGCATGAATGGAATATGGGCCGTACATGCCGTCTATTGTAATTCCAAAAGAATTACCTAAAAACTCTAGGAAGAGTGATAACAGACCACTGTCTTATTGGCAGAAATGCCAAGGGGCTGGTGATACCATAAAAAGCATATTGTAGAAGCTTTCAAGTGGTAGAAGAAGAAGAAGTTATGAAACATCTACTATGCGAATGCAAGGCTCTGTATAGGAAGAGAATCGCAACTATCGGTCGACGGTTTCTTAGCGATGCACATACTTGTATAAAACTTTTTGTATTGAAGAACTTCATCAGGAGCACATAGTTGTTTAGAGAGTACATAATAGAGGGAGGGGATTTTAGT